GTCAGCCGGAACACTTATTCACAATTAACTACGAGTTTTCACTCAATAAATTCCTAATTTGCTGCTTATTAATAGTTAGTAAGGTAGTTGTTAAGTTTAGGTATTGGGTAGGATTAGTGATGTAGAATAAGGTCATGTAGAATAAGGCATTAATATGTGCTTAATTTGTACTAATAAATGGCTAAAATTCTAGTAATATGGATGCTAATAAGCAACTAGTTAAGAGACCCTAAAATAAAGTGTTACCAAAATTTCTATCAATAATTGTCTATAATAAAATCTAAGAACAGAAGGACATTAAAGTCCATGCCATTGGAAATGTGCTATTATGCACTGAGTTTATTTGCTTTTCTGTGATTTTGATTTTAACAAAAAGCCTCTTGATGGTTGCTATTGTGACCATTTCAGATAATGACAGCCGTATCCCTGCTAATTGCTTTTATTTCAGTGGAGGTACTTGTATGTAGCACTACAACTTTACAGTATTTCTACAATTCAATTAAATAATTAAGCTGAGAAGACAGCATCTGCCAAGAACATAAATGTACAAGCACAAGAGCTCTCTCTGGGGCCAGACAATTTTTAATAATTGTGTGCTTTTTGTCATGTTCTGATCAGACCGGCAAAACTGCTTCACCCCATAATACTATGATTAAAGCCCTTACGAGAAGTACTGACTCATAGACAGCCTTGTGCCTTGATGGGCTTATTGTTTATTGGAACATTGCAATAGCCTGTACCTCTCTTGTGAATTTGCAATTAGTATTCAGTTTGTTTATGATACGTGGATTGCTGTAATAGGAAAAGCACTGATGATAATTGTCAATATAGTTTTTAATACATCAGTAAAGTATGTCCTTCATGTTGGAATCTTAACTTAAAGGCATAGTTCACCCCAAAATTTAAAGCATACCATCATTACACACCCTCATATGATTTCAGTATATTATTTTGTGGAACACAACATGAGATTTCAGGCAGGATGTTTGTCTTTTTCATACAGTAAAAGTGGATAGTGACCAAGTTCTGTCAAACTCAAAAAATCAGACAAAAAACCCCCATAAAATTATCATGGTAGTCAATACAACGAATCCTATTTATTTATTTATTTTAACCCATATGATAGCTTTATGTGAAGAAAAGCCCAAAATTGAAGGCATTATTCACAGTTTTTGATTATTTTGTCTATAAAAGCAGCATTAATATCCTGCTAAAAATCTTATTTTGTGTTCTATGGAAGATAGATAATTTTTTTCTTCATTTGTTTTGCATTGAAGACACTGGGAATATTGATATGGAACAATATGAATAATCTAATGCAAAGTCTGCTTCTTGCAGAGAATTATACTATTTGGTTGCTAATTTTTTCACACACTTTAGCTCACGCTTCGTTTAAGTTTTCTAGTACATAAAAATGCTTTTAGAATCACACCTTCATTCTGTGTTAGCTGTAAAATTAAGTTTAATCAACCTGTTTTCTCACATTTTATCATCTCCTCCTTAGTGTATTGTTAGTCTTGCCAGTTCAGACTAATAAACAATAAGCAAACTACATTATGCACGTTATTATTTTTACAATGGTGTGACAGGCAAACTATAATGAACCCAAAAAACAATTTTATCCATGCGCTTGTGGATTAAGTTTTGTTTTCACCACTGTAAAAGCAGCAAATCAAATGCGCACATGGAATGTATTATTCAAATATATTTAAATTAAGGCAGTGTATTCAAATGGCAACAGCAACGGTTGGGTAACGCTGACTGCATTATGTGCTGAGGTATAGCTTACTTTGCGATGAATGCTGAAAAAATGAATAGGTTACACATATTCAGCCATCCAACATGTTGTCTCAGAATGTTTCACATTAGACAGATTCCAGAAAATAACTGTTCACTTTAGAATGTCCACAATGTTATCATGTAAATTTTTCAGCTTTTAGTCAGTTTTATTATATAGAAATACCAAACACTGTTAGTTTGTTTGGGCGAAGAGCACGCACGCGATGTCTCCAAGGGGGCAATTGGCGTGCACTGCGACCGTTTTTCCAATGAAAAAGCTCCACTCTCGTTGTCTCTTTTTTCGAAGAAAGAGGGGCAGCCATCTGCTTCCTCTTCCCAATCCTCCTGCCCTGCGTATGATGAGCTTTGAAAGTTATGGATCGTGCCACAGCAAGGCTTTACTTGCCGTGAAGCGGGTGAATAAAGTGACGTCGCGAGGTCATCTCGATGAACGTTATTTTGTTTTTCCCAGAGCACCTGGAACCAGCAGCTCAGGCGAACTAGGCCCTTCCTCTGCCTCTCTGATGTGCTGAGTTTTTTGGCTAGCTTGCAGTACACTTACCCTTCTGATTCTAACAATCGCGCTGTAGGTCGAGCCCCCTCCTCTCGCTGAGAGCTGGGTTTGTGCTCCCTCAGCTAACGTAAATTACTGCTAGTCATTCCATTTACCCATGCAGCACTCTTCATAACTTTGTTTTGAATAAAAAAACATCACTTTTGTATCGTATATACCAGCAATGTGCATCAGTGTTAGAATCTTCTATTAATTTTATCAATTACCTAAAAAATAAATAAAGATTAATTTGAACTCTAAGTATTACTTATGTCCATGATTAAAGAAATGTAGTGTTACAGATTGCCCCAGTTTCCCATACTTTATCTTTGAATGTTACTAGGATCACAGACAGCAAGGAACCCATTAGAGCTAAAGCACATCAGCGCAGCCCTCTGTTGCATGTCCTACATGGGACGCAGTCACCATCTGCATGCAGATAAATCATTGATTACACTGATCCATGGATCGCTGGGACCTCTGGGAATTGAGCGTCAGTGGTACCAGGAAGGGAGTGAAAAAAAGAAAGAATGAAACAAACAAGATTAATAATAGCTTGATGCTAGAAAGCCCTTTGGGAGCTGACTGCTAAGTGTTGTTGACAGAACGCAGGGTTGTAAGGCACAGATGAATAGTCTTCAGAAGCTGACACCATGGGGGAGTGCTATATTGTTGTATAATAGAAAAGCAGCCAGTGGAGCACCTGTCTTTAGAGTCCAGCTGAGGATGGCCCGCACATGCAAATCGCATCCCTCTCCGAGGCCTCTCAAATATTCACTCACCTAAGGTAAGCGCAGCACAGGGGGCCAATCAGTATGCAGCCGTATGCTTCTAAAAAGCATTGTTGCTAGGAGCGAGGCAGTCAATTTGAATATGTTGATTCTGAGGCAACAGGTGAACATTTGCGAATGTACCTAACATTGAATGTAGATGAAGTCTCTGTGTTGTTGGCATCGGCAGCATTTTTTGCTTCGCTTTTAAATGTTGCATTTAAATCATTAAATATTTCAATCATTAAAGAAGAAAATAAATAAAAAAGATAATTATTAATTTTATCTCAAAACTGCATATAATTTTACCACATATAATTTTTCAAATTTCAAAAGAAGGTAATAATCTGCACATTTTGAAAGAAAATGTTTAAATCTCACAATTGTGATTTTTTTTCCTCAAAATTTGGATATCTATATCCAGAATTGCGAGAAAAACGTCAGAATTGTGAGATATGAACTCAAAATTTTACATCTTGCAATTTTGAGTTTATATCTCACAGTTCTATTTTCTTCTCTGAATTATGAGTTACAGGATTTCGCAATTCAGTTTTTTTTTTTGCGACAAAATTGTAATTGCAACTTTTTATATCACAATTGTGACTTTTCTTGCAGTTGTGAGTTTATATACACACAGTTCTAACTTTTTCTTCTCAGAATTGCAAGTTAACATCTCACAATTCAGATTTTTTTTCTCAAAATTGCCACTTTATGTCTCGCAATTCTGACTTTTTCCTCACAATTCTGAATATCCCAAATCCACGAAAAAAAGTCACAATTGTAAGATTTAAACTCAATATTGCAAGAGAAAAAGTCAGAAGTGTGAGTAAAAAGTCACAATTGCCTTTTTTTATTTGTATCCCATTTTAAACGTTTTCTTTCCAATTTTACAGATTACTACAAATTAAACTGCCTTGTTTTGAAATATAAAACATTTATATGTGGTAAAATATATGCAGAATCAGGCTATAGATCATAGTATTGAATTTGAGAGTATTGAGAGCAATTTTACCACTTGAAAATGAATGAACTATATTTAAAATAAGCACAGCTCAGAGCAATATTATCATTGTTTTAATACTTAAAGGGGTCATATGATGCTGCTAAAAAGATCTCCCAGGATCAGGAAACAGTCCTCCATAAAATGTGCTGCACACATCTGGATTTGGGTTCAACTGTTCTGGAACAGTGTTGTAAATACAACTTAACCACTGATTTGGTGATTTGGTGAAAAACACAGTGGCCTGAGCGGAAGCCCCGGCTTAGCGTGAGCTGAGGCCGGGCTAGAGAGAGCAGAGGCGGCGGGGTCGAGAACGGCGCGGTCGGTGGATCCGATGAAGGAGCGGCAAGCACATGTGACGACCCCGGGCTTCGTCCACGGTTCTTTGGATTTGAGACTTTAGTCTTTGCAACTTTACAGATCTTCTTTATGCACCAAGAGCTTGTAACACTCCAAAGAGAAAGGAAAAATTGAAATAGCATCATATGACCCCTTTAAAAGGGATGCTCCACCCCAAAATGAAAATTTTGTCATTAATCACTTACCCCCATGTCGTTCCAAACCCGTAAAAGCTTCGTTCGTCTTCAGAACACAATTTAAGTTCCCTTTCGATACTTCACTTCGTACTGCGTCGCTAGACGGGAAACTCCTTTTCTCCGATTTACTGAAGCCTTTTTTTCAATCACAGCAGTGCATCTGCACTGCCATTGTTTCAGAAATGAACCAATGACGGTGCAGCGGAGCTGCGCGAGCCTATGGCGAAGCAGCGCGCCCGAGCCCGCCAAAATGGGCGGGGCATCTGGCTATATAAGCAAGTGCTTGGCATAGGATCACTGATTCTTTCTCCTTCAGCGACGACATCTACTGCTCTTCACTGATTCTACAAGATTTGAAGCCTTCGCCTGCAAGCTGATCCAGCCGCCGTTCTGCAGCAGCAAGATCAGCTCGCTGCCTCTGCTCTCTGCTCACTGCTTGCAGCTCGTCGCCCACAGCTCGCCGCAGAAGCAGCGCTCACTGAGACGTCATGCTCCCACTGCGAGAGCATTAGTCTCGCCTCTTTGCGCTCGCGGATAGCTTTCTTTTCAGAAAGCGCCCCCGGCCCTCGCGCCCCCGTTTCCTTCCTCCCAGGAACCTGTGAGGAAAAAACAGCGGTGTAGAGGATCACAGTGCTCGGATATGAGTGAGCTTACGTCGGCTCAAGGCCCACAAAGAGAGGTTTCCCCCGTCTTGTTCTCCCATCCAGACCAGCGCCCCTCTGCCATCGCAAGTGACCTGGTCTCGTTTGGGGGATCGGATGACGAGCCGCTTGATGACAGTATGTCCGTAGCGGCCTCGGATGCTGAGGATTGGTCGGGCTCCATTGCTGACCCCGCCCCCTTGTCGTCTGCGGAGCCAATCAACGCCAGGGTTGGTATGGACACAGAGCTCATCCGTGTCCTATCAAAAGTCGTCGAGGAGCTCGGATTGGAGTGGTCTTCGCCTGAAGAGCCCACTCGCAGCCACCTAGACGAGTGGTTTCTGCCGGGACGCCGCCAGACCCCTCCTCAGCGAGCTGCGCCCTTCTTCCCAGAGGTTCACGACGAGCTGACGAAGTCGTGGGGTGCCCCCTACTCAGCTCGTTTACGCTCCTCTGTCTCTCTCACCCTCACTACGGTCGACGGCGCTGCACAGAAGGGCTACGATAAGCTGCCTCCTCTGGACGAAGCGGTGGCTGCACACCTCTGCCCCCCCGCTGCCATCAGATCGAAAGCAAAGGCCGCTCATTCCTAGAAGCCCTGCCGAGCGACTTCAGCCCTTGCTGGTCGTGCTTACACCTCGGCGGGCCAGGCTGCATCTGCGTTACACTCTATGGCGGTGCTCCAAGTGTATCAGGCGAAGCTCCTTCGCGCCATGGATGAGTCTGGGCCAGAACACTCTGCAGCATTCAGAGAGCTGCGCAGGGCCAAATCGGTGGCACCACAAAGACGACTGCACAGGCCATTGGGAGGTCGATGGCCAGCCTGGTGGTGCTGGAACGCCACTTGTGGCTGAATTTGACAGAGATCAAAGAAGCGGATAAAACCATCTTCCTTGACTCCCCGGTCACCCCCACTGGCCTTTTCGGACCTGCTGTGGAAGGGTTCGCCGAGCGTTTCACGGCTGCACAGAAGTCGTCCCAAGCCATGCGACACTTCCTGCTGAAGCATTCCAGTTCTGCAGCTGCTGCCAGTCGCCAGCCCTCTGCACGGCCTGAGCCCAGGCAGCGCTCACGCTCTGCAAAGCGCCACCCTTTCCTGAATCGCCAGGGACCCCGGCCCAAAATTGTGCTGGACCCTGTGCCTCAGAAGCCAGCCTGATCCCTCAGGAAGCAAGAGGAGGAGGCAGTCTCGCTGTGGCCGGATCACCCCCCAAACTGCCTCGTATGTGTTCCCAGTCGCCCCGTCCAGTTCCCGGTGCTGGGAAAAATGTGTTTATTGCATGCAAAGGGCCCGTTCTAGCGCCCAAGTGTACAACCGGTGTGATAGCGGACAAAATAAAACACAAACATACTCAAAAAGAGAGCAAATTTGCTCTTCCAAACACGGCAAGCCCCGGGTCCCTTCACAGCGACCCGCCGCCCGAACCAATTCAACCAACTGCCACAAGGGCCGAGGCCTGGCAGGTCATCCCCGGCGTGTCAAAGTGGGTTATGGGGATTATAAAACGAGGTTATCTACTCCAATTCGCTCGAGAACCCCCGCGTTTCTGCGGTGTGATCCCCACCTTAGTAGGCAACACGAACGCTCGCATTCTTCGTTCCGAGGTGCGGCCTCTTCAACACTGGCTGAAACCCCTGGTTCCATCCCGAGCTTGGCGTCATGGACGCCTTCGTATCAAGGTGGATCAAGCCTGCATCGCAGCCCTTGCCCCTTGGAAGGACCCTTCATGGTTCAAACAGGGTGTACCCCTGGGGATGATGCACAAAAGGAAGGTCATCTTCACAGATATGTCAAACATGGGCTGGGGAGCCCTGTGCGATGGCAGACCAGCCTTTGGCGCATGGTCGAGCGAAGAGACAAAGCTCTTGGAAGGACCCTTCGTGGTTCAAACAGGGCGTACCCCAAAGCTGCACATCAACTGCCTGGAAATGCTGGCAGTATGGCAGGCCTTACAGTCCTTCCTACCACATCTAGAAGGATGCCATGTCTTAGTCCGATCGGACAACATGACGGTAGTATCCTACATAAATCGCCATGGCGATTTTTCCTCCCCACGCCTCTTCAGGGTGGCAAAGAGCCTACTGGAGTGGGCACATTGCCACTTGCGCTCCCTAAAAGCAGCGCACATACCAGGCAAACTGAACCAGGGAGCAGACATGCTGTCTTGGAGCAACGTCCCCTCTGGCGAGTGGATGCTTCACCCCCAAACGGTTCGGAGAATATGGGAGATCTTCAGGAAGGCAGAGGTCGACCTCTTCGCCTCAGAAGACAACTCTCACTGCCCAATCTATTTTTCGAAGGAAAAGGGATGCGCTGGCCCACGATTGGCCCAGCCTTCTCCTTTACGCTTTTCCCCCGATCGCCCTGATCCCTCAGGTTATCAGGCGAATCAGGGAACAAAGGCACAAGGTTCTTCTAGTGGCCCCGCTCTGGAGAAACCAACTATGGTTCTCAGAGATGTCTCAGCTGCTCACGGCAGCTCCATGGCCCATTCCCCTGAGACGGGACCTCCTCTCTCAGGCGAACATGACGATATGGCACCCCCAACCCAAGTTGTGGGCCCTACACTTATGGCCTCTCGATGGGAGCCTATGAACCTCCTAGAGGGTGTCTTAAATACCATTTCTCAGGCTAGAGCCCCGTCCACGAGGCGCCTCTATGCCCTCAAATGGTCGGTCTTCACCGCTTGGTGTACAAACCGCGGTGAAGACCCATCCACATGTGACATATCTTCGATATTGTCCTTCCTTCAAGAGCTGTTGGATAAGGGTCGCACCCCCTCCACTCTTAAGGTCTATGTGGCGGCTATAGCAGCTTTTCATGCTCCTATAGACGGGATATCGGTCGGCAGGAACAACCTCGTTGTTCGATTTTTGAAAGGGTCTAGGAGGTTGAACCCCCCTCGCCCTTCTACGGTCCATACGTGGGATCTGTCTACGGTTCTGAGGGCGCTCAAAGGCACCCCCTTTGAACCGCTGCAATCTGCTGATATTCGACCCCTGTCACTAAAGACCGCTCTGCTATTAGCTTTGGCATCAGTTAAGCGAGTTGGAGATTTACAGGCGCTCTCTGTGAGCCCCTCCTGCCTTGAATTCGGGCCTAACGACTCCAAGGTCGTCCTGAAGCCTAGGCATGTTTACGTACCTAAGGTGCTCTCTACTCCATTCAGAGCAAAGGTAATCACGCTCTCTGCAGCGGCCGGCGGGTCCTCGTCGTCCACCTTTGTCAGGTTCTACAACCTAGACGTCCCTGCTTTGTAGGCTCAGGTCCTTTCTGCTTAACTGTCTCTCTGAGCTCAAAACGCTACAGGAACCATATCCCCGCCCTAAGGCTGGATTTAATCCTTGCTGGGTTTGACTATGTTTCGAACCCGCTGAAGTTCCCATGTCTGGGCTTAGCTTCCGGCACGCTCTCGGCCCTATCTAGTTCCGAGGCTGTGCGAAGCTCTAAGAACGATTATGTAAGGCCGGGCTCGACCTCTATGAGTTAGCCCATTTCTTTGCCTCCGCTTGACCACGAAAAGAATCTGGGTCTCTGGCTATGGCCTGCTTCATTGTAGTTGATCTACAGGGCTTCCTTCTGGATGCCCTGGACAATTACTTATAAGTCGTTCATCTACCATAGCACGGTGTGATTGAATAGGTTCCCGTAGCGTCTAGCGACGCAGTACAAAGTGAAGTATCGAAAGGGAACATACTACTGCGTAGCTAGCCGTGCTATGATGCTGCATGACTCTGTCGTCACTTCAGTCGATATGAATCAGTGATCCTATGCCGAGCACCTGCTTATATAGCCAGATGCCCCGCCCATTTTGGCGGGCTCGGGCGCGCTGCTTCACCATAGGCTCGCTGCGCCGTCATTGGCTCATTTCTGAAACAATGGCAGTGCAGATGCACTGCTGTGATTGAAAAAAAGGCTTCAGTAAATCGGAGAAAAGGAGTTTCCCGTAGCGTCTAGCGACGCAGTACTCGTTCCCGTATCTCAGGGAACAGAGGTTATATTAGTAACCGAGTACGATATTTTGGATGAAAACCGGGAGGCTTGTGACTGTCCGATTGACTGCCAAGTAAATTGCACTGTCAAGGTCCAGAAAAGTATGAAAGACATTGTCAGAATAGTCCATCTGCCATCAGTGGTTCAACCGTAACGTTATGAAGCGATGATAATACTTTTTGTACGCGAAAAAAAAAAAAAGACTTTATTCAACAATTCATCTCCTCTGTGTCTCTCCGCATCACCGTAGCGCCATTTTGGAGAATATCCGCTGGACGCAAGCAGCGTACGTTATTCTGTGTCAGCTGCGCTGCACGGATGCGCTGTTTTCGTTCAAATCAAAGTGTAAATACACGTAGAAAACGTATCCTTGTTTTGCGGTTGACACAGAATAGCGTACGCTGCTTGCGTTCAGCGGATATTCTCCAAAATGGC